TATTTCATTTTCTCCAAACAAAGCGAGGGGTGACCTTGCAAAGTACAGCCTGCTTGGCTGCCTTGCTTGCTCACCATTTCCTGTTTGGAAGCCTATGACTAATCGAAACAGGTGACAAGCTAGGCTGCCAAATGGATTGCGTGCTCGGCGAAAATGGAATGTGATTTCAGACTCGAGCTTGCATCAAGCATCGTCGGAACTGCCAAGGGCTCGCAGCATGCCAGAGGCCGAAGCGACCATTTCTCGCTAAGCATAGACCGGTGCTCCTTCGGCACCCTGCTGCTCCGATTCAAGAGCTCCCCAAGCCTTGCCCGTGAAAGAAACTTTGCCAATTTGCAGGCCAGTGACATCAACACTCGCGGCCTGCATCATATGTTTGGTTCCTACGATTGTACAGTCTCATCTATTTTCTCCTGCTCACGTTACAGCTGATGCAGTATAGCAGATGCAGAGCTCCAAAGTATATGACACTCCATTGTAAACTACATGCTTGTGATGTGGTGAGAGGTTAGCAGCGCTTGAAACATTTGCAGAAAGGATTAACAAGCATCCTACTGGTGTGTGGTCGTGGATCACTACAGAGTGATACTCGTTAAGGTACCCCATCCACCAGTCCGATTCACATGAAGACGTCGCCGAGTCGTCGTCCCTTCTCCTGGGTGAAGACATTGCTCGTCTTACGAACACGAATTGGCAAGAGCTTGAAAAACGCGCAAACGTCGCCGTGGAGGCGATTGCCAGGAAGACCTTTGGGTCATCGGGGAAACAAAATTAAAAGCATCACCTCCCGCCTCCTCCCTCCCTTGGTGTAAGAAAGGAGGTTAGTTGGATCGGACCTCTGCGAGGGCGACCAAAGATTTTTCGCTCCTACTCACCTTAAAGGGGTCATGAAACGCTTTTCCAACTTTTTCCTGTTTAGCTTTCCTCCTCAACTCGTAAATCGCGCATTCCACCAAACAGTTATAGAAGACGAAAATGGGGAGTCCCCTCTTGCTCGCACTCTCGTTTGTATAATCCGGACACATCCATTCTCCCCCTAGAAGATTAGCCCGTCGCTCAAAATTCAAACAAAAGTTGCTTTCCCCACCCCGTTCATTCCGAAGCTGACAGTGCTGTTGAAGCTACGTGCTCGTTGGGCCAGCCACACTTGCCACGTGAGCGTGGCAAATGTGGCTGCAGAGAATGAAGTCAGGTGATGAAAGGGAGGCGGCTGATTGGTCCGGCAAGCGCGTAGCTTCCACCACAATGTCAGCTTAGGGGTGAAGGGAATAAGTGAGGTCCGGTTGTGTGTGACGTCAGTTTGGACCCGTTGACGCGCTTTTGGGACCGCGGATGTTTCACAGTGAAAAGGCAGAGAGGTTGCGAAGGGGAGGAGGTACGAAATAGTCCACTCTGTTTTCAAATTTTCGCACTGAAAGTCAGGCTTTTGACTTTCTACCTTTTTACTTTTGGTCCACTGAACGATGTGCTATTAGTAAAATCCCAATCTAAAATGATTTATCCCAACCCAAAAATCGTTTCATGGGCCCTTTAAGAACACTTCGGTGTAGGTAGAGCTTTATTGGGGGTGCCTTCAAATTGTCAGAAAGGGTGCCAGGAATGCTGCTGGAAGCTGCCGTATGCACGGTTCGGTCGGGGGAAAAAAAGCAATTTTTCGGCTCTTTTGAAATGCAACGATCATCAACGAGAAGAATACATCGCCGGCAAAGATCCGGGTGCAGATTCGGTGTTGAAGAGTGCATGTGCACCTATTATCAATGTCAGAAAACGATGTTTATTGATTCGATTAGTGAGCGGATTACATGATGCTACACTGGCTACGCCATTGCTGGATCTCTGCGTCTGTGGCTTTAGCTCGGCTTGGCTTTCTCGACAGTCCAGTGTCTTTTGCTTGGCTTGGCTTCCTTGACATCCCCCTTTTTTTCTTTAGAGATCAAGCCTGACGACTGGTTTGATTATGCGACCTGATTTGGTAACGGTGGTTGAGTCTGCCGGGTTCTCTCGCTGGGGGCTGGGGCATACTCGGCTGTCGGTCACAGGCTGTGGCGCATGTGGCTCGATGCTGGTAGTATGAGTTTTTGCAGCGTGGTGTAGCTCAGCCTTAGTCGGACGAACAAAGGACGTATTGCGACGGTACTGTCCCTTTGGCGTCTGTACTATCACAGACCGAGGTTCTTCCGAAAGACGTAAGACTGTTCCAGGAACCCATCTCCTGTTTTCTTCCCAAACTTTGACTTTATCGCCAGGGGCCATGGCAGGGGCTCGTTTGGAGTGCTGGTCAGCGTAAGCCTTCTGCTGGTTGCGCTCGTGACGCAGCTTGTCCGGCACGCTTTGGATTATTTCGGGCTTTAGTAGCTTGTTGTGTGTGGGAACTGGAGTTCTTGTCCTCCTGCTGTACAGTCTTTGTGCAGGTGAACCCAGTTCTTCACTCCTTGGCGTGTTTCTGAAACTGAGGAGGGCCATTTGTATGTCGCTTCCATCCAGAGAGCATTTTCGGAGAATCCCTTTTGCAGTCTGAACGGCTCGTTCGGCAAGACCGTTTGACTGCGCATACCTCGGACTTGAAGTCACGTGCTGGAAGCCCCAGTCTCTGCTAAAGTTCTTGAATTCTTGTGCTGCGTAGCAGGGACCGTTGTCTGTTTCAATCACTTTGGGGACACCATGAGTTGCTAGCCACACTTTCATGACGTTTACAACTTCTTTTGACGATTCTCCTGAGAGCTTCTTGAAGTCTAGGTATCCAGAGTAGCTGTCGACAATGACAACGTAGGACTTTCCTTCGAAGTTGAAGAGGTCTGATGCTACTCTTTCCCACGGGAGGTCTGGTATTTCTTTGAGATGAAGTGGCTCTCTCGCTGGTTTCTTGTCAGTTGCTTGGCATGTGGCACATCTTTCCACGTAGCATTTGATGTCTGTCGTTAGCCCTGGCCAGTATACAGTCTCGCGGGCTCTCTTTAGACAACTGTTTATGCCTAGATGTCCCGCGTGGATCTGGACGAGCAGTCTGTTTCTCCAAGTTTTCGGAATGACTATCCGATCGCTTCTGAACAACATGTCTTCATACACAGCGAGTTCATCCCTAAATGACCAATACAGCTTCATTGGGTCACTGAGCCCTCTTGTGGTGCTTGGCCATCCTTCTTTCGTGGCTTGGATCACTTCTTGGATTTCTTTGTCTTGGGCAATGTCCCTCTTTAGTTCTTCCATTGTTTCAGGTGACATGGGTACAATTGCCATCACTTGTATGTCATCTGTATATGCACCTGCCGACTCGTTCTTGATGCAGTCTCTGCTCAGTAGATCTGCGATCACGAGTTCTGTTCCTTTCTTGTAGACGATTGTTGGTGCGTACTGCTGTACGTCAAAGAGAAGTCTTTGTAGTCGAGGAGGGGCTTTGCTCAGCGGCTTCTTTGCGATGCTCTCGATCGGCTTGTGGTCAGTCTCGATGGTTAGAGGTTTTCCATAGATATATTGGTGAAATTTCCGGCAGCCGTATCGGATCGCTAGTGCCTCCTTCTCGATCTGAGGGTAGTTCTGTTGTGCTTCCGTCATTGCTGCTGAGGCGTAGGCAACAGGCTTTCCTTCTTGTAGGAGAACAGCTCCTAGGGCTTTTGAGCTTGCGTCCACTGAATGGGTCATAGCACCATTAACGTTGTAGTATGCGAGTGTTGGTGCAGTCTTCAGCGCTTGCTTGATTTCGGTCAGTGCCTTGCTCTGTTCCTCTGTCCACAGGTACTCAGTGTCCTTGGTGATGAGCTTTCTCAGTGGTGCAGTCTTGTCCGCAAGGTTGGGCACGAACTTCTGGAGATACTGGATCATCCCTAGCAGTCTCTGTAGCTCGGTCTTGTTCTTTGGTTCATTTAACTGGTCGATGGCGGCTACCTTTTCTTGGTCGATCTTGAGTCCTTCTGCAGTGATTTCGTGACCAAGAAACTTGACTGCAGGCTTGTCAAAGACACACTTGTCTTTGTTGAGTTTAGTGCCAGCTTCTTTCAGAGCATCCATGACCTTCTTTGTAGTTTCTTGCAGCTGTTCGCTTGTTTCGGCATACACCAGGATGTCGTCCATGGAGTTGACGGCGTTCGGAATCCCTTCCAGGATTCTGCTGATGACTTGTTGAAAAACTTCCGGTGCTGTGGCTATGCCAAAAGGAACTCAGTACCTGCCCCACGGAGTGCTGAAGGCTAGATACTTTTTGGTGCGCTCTGACACTTGCATTTGCCAAAATCCTTTCTTGAGGTCTAGCAGAGTGAACCGCTTGGATCCTCTGACATGCGCAACAATTTCTTCCAAAGTCTTGAGAGGATAGTTTTGTCTTATAAGAACTTTGTTCAGTTCCACTGGATCGATGCAGATCCTGATCTTTCCTCGCTGCTTCACAACAACCATTTCACTGCAGAATGGAGTTGGTTCTGTGATTTTTTCGACGATTCCTTTCTGTTCCATGCTCGTGAGCTCTTGCTTGACTTCATCCATAAGTGCATATGGGACCCTTCTTGGTGGCTTGTTTTCCAGCTTCTTGCTTGCTTCCTCTTTGACATCGGCATCATAGACAAAGTTCTTGATGCAACCGATGCCTTGAAATATTTCGTCATCTTCTTGCGTTGCTTGGACTGTGTGCACCCTCTTCACGAGGTTGAGGAGCTCGCATGCGTTCTGACCCAGAACTGGTGTCACGTCAGAGTTCACGACGAGGAATTTCAGTTTCGCCGGCTCATCACGGACAGTGCATGCTTCTCTCACCTCACCGATCACTTGCATCTTGTGATTGCTGTATGTTGCGATTCTTTTGACTGGCGAAGGAAACACTTGTAGTCTCATGGCTTGGACGTTCTTGTTTGGGAGGACGTTGCATTGCGCTCCTGTGTCCAGTTTCATGACAACTTTAGTTCCACACTTGAACTGGATCTCTTCTTGCCACACCGTCTTGCTTGTCTTGGTTCTCAGCTCCGACACATACATTTCTTCTTCAGGGTCTTTGTGGTTGTCGATGGCATGGACCTTGTGTTGCACCATACTTCTGCTTGATCGGCACACTGCAGCAAAGTGTCCTTTCTTTTGGCACTTGTTACACGTCTTGCCATACGCTGGACATTCTTTTGGTCTGTGAAATCCTCCTCAGAAGCTGCATGCTTTTCTTGCCATTCCCGAATTCGCTGGCGCTTGCTCTTTTGTCTCCGCGACAGTCTTCTTTCTCGGTAGCTGCTTTGTCTTCTTCGTGACGGCGTCGACGGTCCTCGTTTCTTTGTTTACGATTTCTTTGAGCTGCTGTGACGCCTGTTCGCTCGCTTTGCAGAGATTCACGGCTTTCTGCAGGTCGACAGTCGGGTCGCTTAGCAGTCTTTCTCTGACATCGTCATTGGTGATGCCAACGATAATGCGATCGCGTAGTAGTTCATCAGTCAGCTCACCGAACTTGCATTTCTTTGCTTGTAGCCTTGCGGCCGTCAGAAACTCGTTGAAAGTCTCGCCCTCTTTCTGCTTCATTTGATTGAACCTGTACCGTTCGTAGGTGGGGTTGACCTTCGGGTGGAAGTGCTCTTTGAACCGTTGCTTTACGATGTCCAGGTTTTTCTTGTCGTCTTCGCTCAGTGGGAGCGTTCGGAACACGTTCTGTGCGTCTGGGCCGATGACAGTCATGAAGTTCGCTACTTGAACTTCGGGAGGTTTCTTCTGTAACTGGATCGCTGTTGCGTACCATTCGTAGCTCTGAAGCCAGTCGTCCCAAACGTCTGGCGACTGCGACGACAGATCAAGAGGCCTCGGCGTCTTTAGACCACCTTCCATAGTTTCGGAATCGGCGCTCACGTGCGTCGGCTTGTTTGTCTTGTTTTAACGGCGTCTTCTTCGCTCCGTCGCTCGAATCAGTGGCTGTATCGTTTCTGCTGAGGTTCTTCTTTCTTCTTCTTGGTAGATCCCGCTTCTGTCACCATGTCAGAAAACGATGTTTATTGATTCGATTAGTGAGCGGATTACGTGATGCTACACTGGCTACGCCATTGCTGGATCTCTGCGTCTGTGGCTTTAGCTCGGCTTGGCTTTCTCGACAGTCCAGTCAGGCTCACGCAGCTGTAGCCTTGGCCATTGAAACGCGCTCGAGGAGCAAGGGAGCGAGGAGGAAGAAAAGAGGAGAGAGAAGAAGAGAGGGTGCGCCACGGTAGAAGGTGGACGGAAGGAAAGAGTTTTGTAGGGGCCAACTTAATATATGCACCACGCCTGCCGCTAGGGGCGCGAGTAGTCGGAGGAATGCAGAGTATGGGCGGATAGACTTATACAGCTGGCTCCTTTGAATGGGGCGTTTAGTCGCGCCACCTGGTGGCCAGTGTTTTGTGGTGAACGAGTGGTCCTGGTGGTTTGCGGCGCCTTTGCGCTCGACCGCTTCCCTTTCTCCACTTTTTTTTTGTATACCAATCTATATATATATATATATATGCGATTCTTTTTGTGCATAAAAAAACAGAAGCAGGTGTTTTTCACGTGTATTTCATTTTTTTTTATTTTTTCGTAAACATGGAAACACAGAAATTATTACACGGATTTATATAGCACAATATTCCACCCTTTCAAATAACTCTTAAAAAAACAAACATGAAGGGGTTAATAAGGCGGTGCATTTGTTTGCAAACGTTAAAACTGCCAACTTGATTAAAAGTTACATACAAGGACGACACTTTTTGCTAACCAAAAATGAGCTTTCTTTTTTTTGCTGCCGTTGAAAAAAAGGACCATTCTACTCAAACATGTCTTATCAAAGAAAAAAAGCGCCAAGGAAGAAAAGCTGAAATCAGTCTTATCCCAAGCTTTAGTCCTGCTCAGCCAAATGCCAAAAGTATAAACGGTAAAGTTAAGGCACGGCGTTGTTTTTTAAGCACTTCTTGTTTATAAATGCGTCCGCCGCAAAATGAGCTAAACAGAGATAGCGCTGTTTCATTCTCTTGTGATCTTTTAGCAGATTGGTGTACGATGCCCACCTCTCGTGCCTTAAGTTAATATTAATAACGTATACTAAGAATTTACGTTCACCAGAGTTCGCAGTAGCAAAGTGAAAAACGTCCGAACTGAAACCATACCTGTGACCTGTTGCGAACAGCATCAGAGAAACATTTGGCGTCTTATTAGAATTGCCGCACCATCTCGCAGAGCAGTACTTTCCAGGCAAGATTCACACTTGGTCTGTGACCAGACGCGACACCGCGACTTTCTTCACACAAACCAAAACTAGCCGACCGACACTGCCGTCACCGTAAAACCAGTCGCATCCGAACCTGACGAGTCAGTGACCGTTGCTCCCTGCCGAGCCGTCGGGTTTTGCTGTCACCGCCGTCACCGTACAAAAAGCACAACACCGGCGAGTCCAGCGCATCCAAAACCGACGAAACAATGACCGTTGCTCCCTGCCGACCCGTCTTTGCCGTCACCGTACAACCAGCTGAGCTCCTTCGAGTCCGGCGCATTCAAAACTGACGAGACAATGACCGTTGCTCCCCACGCGACAACAAAACGCCACAGCGCCACCGACGCCACGGCGTTTGTAGGGGTGTTGTTCCCATAATCATATGCACGACGGTGCTGGCCTCTACGGTATTTCTCCGAACGCCGGGAGCTGCGTTCGCCTGGTCCAGTGTCTTTTGCTTGGCTTGGCTTCCTTGACAATCAAGTGCTCCTTTATGGAGGCTCTGCTGCTGTGCTCTTTTCTGGGATGGTGCGTTATCAGGTGTAAACCTTCTTTGTTTCGTCTCGACTAGAAAATCTCTGTGGCGGTGTCATAACCACCTCTGATGTCGGCTGTGTTGGGTGTATTTTTGTTGACGCTGTAGAAGTCGGAAGGCATTATATCCTTTCGCCTGACCGAAGGATTTATTCGCGTGTTTGCAGTTTAAAACATATTTGTAACCATCTAAGGTGCCGAGGATACTAATAGCTGCATATGAGTAATGCCAGCGTTTAGTTTGTATCTCGATAAACAGAAAATGCTGAATGCGATAGATATCTGGTCACTCAACAATACCCTTTTCTCTTTGCATGGTGTCCCCCTCTAAAAAGATTGGTAGAAAACACAGTTCTCATGGTTTTGCTTGTAAAATCTTGTGAATTTAAAGTGTCTGACATTAAAAGTGCCCCAGTTGCTTCAAATCTGCAGCGAGGTTGTTTTTTGCAAACTCTTTGTTGTTTGTCTGTGGTGATGCCTGACGTTACAGCCGGTGATGCCTGATCACGGGCTGTAACCCGTGATCACCGAGCCCGTGACTTTGTTTTCTTCCTCCGCAGCTTGGGTCGCTGGTGGTTCTGCTTCCTCATTTTTCCTCCCACCTTTCTTTGCACGGCTTGTTTCATTGCAGGGACAGGTTGCTGGATAAACCGCTGCTTGGGTGTTGTTGACTATTGCCACTACGCTAGACAGAACTTGCGAGGTGAGTCGCTTTGCAGAGGTTTCACAAAAAATGAGCGGTCGCTTCTTCGACATTTTCCTTGGTGGCTTGTTCGACACCGAGGACAAGTACTTCAGACTGTTAAAAAAACTGACTTTTTTGTGCGTTCAGTAGTACTTTTCCTTCGTGCGGAGTGGGCTGAAATGTTTTTTGCAAGCACAATCACCGGGCTGAAGCTTGCGGTTGGAGTGGGGAATTGCACGATTTCATAATCCGAGGCGATTGGGGTCCGCAGGTGTTTTAAATAAGGTGACTTGCCGTGGCGATGTGAATCCATCGGGCGCTCATCGATTCTTGATCGGTATCCAAGCGTGCGAAGGCACAGAGACGCAGCACTTGGGCGTGCGAAGGAATCTTTGATCATGCCGCGAGACTGGCGAAACTTGCTTTCGACGAGTTGTGCCTTTTTCCTGCAACACTGCGTTTCCGTAAAACTTTTTATGTGTTCTCACAGCAAGTTTCACGGCTTGCACGGGTTTTAAAGAACTTCTTCGGCAAATGATGACGAACGAGTCCAAAACATATCTTCAGCACACTGCCGCCAACCTCCGTAATGCTCCAAAACCGCGATTTTTCGGCATGTAAGATGGCCGTCTCGCAGGAGCGGGAAGCGCAATCTAACAGTTGTCATAGAGATCAGTTGGTGGTCACAATATTTTGTTGCTCTGTGTTCTTGTTTGTGACAATCAATGTAGCCTTACCCGGTGCTAGTTGGTAATTGAAACTGCAAATAAAAATTATTTCTAATTACTGTTGTACTAAAAATTACTGTTGTTTTTCTGCACCTAGCAAATACTGAAAATATGCCTGCTGCTGCGCACTGATTAAATATTTATATTGTGGTATATGCTTCATATGTGTGACTTTCATTAAATGTCACTTATTGTGGTTGCGTTGGTGTTGAGCGCATACTTTTTGTAGTATTTACTTCGCACCATCGAAATTTTTTTTCACGGTAAGCACAAGTAGGGGTGACTGCCGACACGCAAGCAATATATATTACCACTATTACTAGCTGCAACAATTTTTTATGTTAAATTTGCATCAAGTGGAGGCTATCGACCAACCCCCAAGAGCAGGTGATGCTATGAAGCAACCTATGCCACACAATTTACCTGGGACCATTTTGTCCTTTTTCATATTTGGGACCATTTAATCACGGACCATTTTGACCGGGACCATTTTGACTGGGACTATTGCTACCTGATCAAGGGGAGAGACGTACGGTCGCCGGCCATATGAGCTCCCCCGGCCGAACGCCGGCCGGAGCAGCGAAAATCCCGCATGCGGCGCGTCGAGCGTTGCCGCGCTCTGGGAGCGGGGCTATTGGGACCAAACCATTTTGTTATCAAAGGGGTGGACAAAGGAAGTTTAATAGCATTCCGCCTTTTGAAACTTGAATCTGAAGCACGGCCGATAACGATCACGCTTCTGGTTGTAGGTAAACGCAGACGGCTTATCGAAATTCTTCACTGCACAATATCTCTGACGTGTTATATGCTACTTCTTTATTTTGCAAAATCGGTTTGTCATTTTAAATAGTTCCTACCCGAAGAGTAATCGTACGCACCAAGCCCCCCCTCCCCCTTTTTCTTACAACCTTTCTTAAACCTAGACTAGACAATGACAAACGATCTTGAAATAATTTATTCAATCTATAAGGATATGCTATAGATAACAAAAAAAATGATTTGTGTCGAAGCAGAATTAAGATTCAGGCACTTTTCATGAACGCCCTTTATCGAGGAGACTATTGTTCTGCGCTCAGTAGCATGTTGCTTCGCCAAGGGTGACTCTCTACACGATAATTTTGCAGATGGCTTCCCGGTCGACCACTTCTCGCTTGCCGAGGGATCATTGTTATCATGCCTAATATCATATCAAACATAGGGTTTTTACATTTGTAAGCATCGATCGAACACTGCTGCTTTATCTACGCCTAAAGCAAGCTCCAGTTTATCAGCAGTTATAACATCATCACCGAACACTTGGGGCCAACACCCGAAAAAGGCAATTCTAATCGGCCATGTTTTTGTGATTCACACTTCGAAAGGCTGGAATCCCGATAAAAGCTACGCGTCCACCCCTTTGATAACGGAATGGTTTGGTCGCAATAGCCTGGCTCCCAAAACGCGGCAACGCTCGACGCGCCGCGTGCGGGATTTTCGCTGATCCGGTCGGTGTTCGGCCGGGGGAGCTCATATGGCCGGCGACTGTACAATGTTGTATAAAATCTCTACCACCTGCACCATTCTTCATTGGCGATAAGGGATTTTTAGTGTCCCTGGGCCTCTTTTTGAGTCTGAGCATGCACATTGCCTGGGGCAGGTTAAGTTTTCCTGCTCTGGTATCGTCCTTAGTAGTATGAATATTGCCACAAATAAAATTGGCAGATGGTTTAACCACAAATGAATAGTTCAACGAGTGGAACTTGTATTTGTAGCTAAAGCAAACGGGACCGTACATCTGGTCTGGGTGTCAAAAGGCGATTGCCTCTGCGCGTGCCAGGTCACGGTTTTTTTATCGCCACTTGA